CAGGGCACGTAGGAGAATTTTGGTATACTCATCAGTCTTGTAATGAGCAGGTTTCAAATCCATGGTTCTTTCCCTTATTTAGAATAAGTATGTTTAATTGGGTGTGAAGTTTGTCCAAGAGAATATACCTCACTAACAACAGTAGAATGGAAGTAAGAGAAGGGTCACAGATTGTTATGAGATGCTTAATTGGTGACTGAAGGAAAAAAGTGTCCCTATCCCAGTTACACCTGTCTGCTCATCTCCTTGGCCCTTTAGGTGGTTTACCTGTGCTTTGGGCTTCACACTCAGTCACGTTCAGCCCAAACCTTTTGCATTTAAATTGATTAAACATTAATGGACAAAATATTAATTAATTAAATATATTAAGTTTTCATGTCTTACAAGATGATTATTGCAAACCATATCCCATAGTTCTCCAACTTATTTTTAAGAAAAGTGCTTCATTTAATGGGCTTTTTTCATAGACTAGACAATGTGAGTATACAGTTACATATATATATTCACGAGCATAAACAGTTATGTTGTGCTGGGCTATATTGTTAAAACGTAAAACCTTATATTTGTACCAAATATAGCCCCAGTCTGATCCCACTGAATTCTTATCTTTGGTTTTGCCTTTCTTGTTTTTTTAAATGAAGCATTTTCTAAGTTATTAGGTCATTATTTTGTAAATAGCTAATAGCCCTATGTACATGAAAGTAGGGAAAAATACAAAGAAGAAAAAAGAGACAGCACTATTATTTTTTAAAAATAAGTTGAACTGCTGTAGATGCTTCAGCCCTATCATTCCTCTGTGACAGTATTTGTTTAGAGCAAGTTTTATGAAGACCTGGCATACAAATGGGGGTTAATGGTTGTGGTATCTACTTTATGTTCTTGCCTCATGACTTGCAGTTGCCATTCTTTTTTAAAATTAGTTAATTAATTATATATGTATATATTTGGTACGGGAATAAGAGCTCACTATGCAGCTCAGACTCGTAGTGATCCTCCTGTCTCAGCCTCCCCAGTGCTGGGATTATAGGCATGTGCCTCCATGCCCAGTTTCAGTGGTCAGCACAGTGTAGGACTGGTAGGGCATGTGGTGCTGGGGATTGAACCAGACTGCTAAGCTATCTCCCTGGCCCACCATTCTTCTTGAGGCACTAACATTTTTCCTTGAGTGCTATATGGAGTAATATACACAATTATTATTTTATGGAGCTTTTGATAACTTGCTAAGCATAGACTAGTGTGATTTCAGCTTAGACAGACTTGGTGAAACTGTATTTTCAGTATATTCTCTAATTAGACCACAGAGATTTGGAATGCCACAGTTGATGGCAGAATAGTTTGCTGGACATCTAAAGCTAATAAAAAGAAAATTCACAGAATTAGTGTTCTGACTTTAGGCTGGAAACTTGTCAATTTTTGGAGATATTATAATTGAAAACCAGACTCAAGGTAAGACATGAATATGTTTCAAAATGATCACTCTCATCCATTAAAGAGATATCATTAGATTCTAAAGTTATGGAGACACATTTGCTCTATTATACTGATTCTTCTTTATGAATGTCTACACTTTAAATCTTAACTTACATAAAACTATAATTTCAATTATTTATTCTCAAGGAAGATTTGTGTTTTTTTTTTAAACTGGCAGTATTATTGTACAATATACAGCATTAGTGTGTTTGTGAAGAGCATTTATTGATTTAAGCAGAAACATGGGATTAGAAATTCCCATTTATTGGTTTTAGGATTGTCTATTTTACCTATCTCATAGGAAAACATTCCAGATTTAAGGTAATGAGAATAATTAGGACTCAATTTTCTACATAATTCAGGTAAAAGACTTAATTGGTAATTAAAGAACAAGGTTTTAGGTAATAGGAATTCTTTGGTTATTAAGTAGTACTTCCTAATGATGAAATTATTTAATTAACATACATGACTACTACCAGTCATACAGTCTTCTGGTTACTGGGACCATATTAAATAAAATAATAATCACAATAATAATAATTATTGCTACTACTATTATTATGGTCAATGGTTTCATAATCTGTTGAAAGAGATAGAATCATATAAGTAGTCATAGACTTATAAATTATACAAAGCATATGGAATTACTTAAAATTCACAGAACATGGGAAAATGCTGTATGTATAGCTCAATTTTATTATAAAACAAGAACAATGTTTTCTTTCTTATTGTCTGCCTCAGAGGATGTATCATGGAAAAAGAAATGATACAGATAATAGCCTTTTAGTTGCATTTAACTTAGATTGCCAGTAAAGAAGTGGATTTTTCTTCACTGATGAGTATTGAGCAAGCGTAAGAAATAAATTAATAAGATGTGAATGTTTGGCCTTCAAATCTAGTAACATAAGGTGTAAATGAATTCATGGTTAACATAAGCATCTATGCATCTACTGTAGATTTTGAGCATAGACTAGTGTGATTTCAGTTTAGATAGACTTGGTGAAACTGTATTTTCAGTATATTCTCTAATTAGACCACAGAGATTTGGAATGCCACAGTTGATGGCAGAATAGTTTGCTGGACATCTAAAGCTAATAAAAAGAAAATTCACAGAATTAGTGTTCTGACTTTAGGCTGGAAACTTGTCAATTTTTGGAGATATTATAATTGAAAACCAGACTCAAGGTAAGACATGAATATGTTTCAAAATGATCACTCTCATCCATTAAAGAGATATCAGAAAATAGTTTCATGTTACAAACAAGAAATTTAAAGTTCAGAAAAATAAAATAACATGACATGTCCAAGTCCATAAAATTCATTAGTAGCAAAGCTTGGGATACTTTAGCTTGTGTTAGATACTTTCTTGGTTGTTCAATGTAGAGCTCAGTATAGTGATAGGTAAGTGTAATGCATCAGTAATGTTCTCAAGATATTATAACATCAACTAAGAAAATGTCTTCATCCCAGGCTAACATGCATAAAGCAGACACAGGGAAGTTCTGGTACAGGTTGTGTAAACAGAGAGACCAAGGTTTGTCTTCTGATGCGGGCGCTGAACAGTATAGATCTGACTTCTCGTTCTCTCCATAACAGTTGCCTTGACAGCCTGTGACCCTAAGGACAAGTCCTTTGGTGGGACAGAAAATTTCACAGCCATTGTTGAATAATCTGAGGCACCTTTCTCTGTTCTCTTTGGTGCTCTGATACACTTTATAATTCCAGTGTCGTGTGGGAGGTGGAGTCGCACCATATTGCCCATGCTGTCTTTGAGCTCATGGGCTCAAGTAATCTGTGAACAGTGACTGGTTACATTTTATAATTTGTCTGTTATGGAGGAAAGAAATAAGAGACCAATAAACCAGTTGCTGCTATATGTTCAAAAGGAAGAACTGTTTATGCTGGATATCCAAAGGTGATACTGAGTACTGGAGAACATTTACAGTAAAGAAATAGTGTCCCTTTACGGATAATGAATACACTATCTATTATTTACACTTATTGACCAACAAATTTTACTCTTTGGCTATAAACACATTATTAGGGCAAAACATCTGCTATAGTAATCAAGGAACACAGATATATAAGCTATCGTCTTTCCATGAAGAATTCCATTATATAATGTGTAACATTTGTTTACTAACTGTAACCATGGGAATAGGTATGAGGTAGAAAGATAAAAGAGAGAAGTGTAACTAGCTTTCTGACCTATGGAAAGAAGGGCGGGATTGTTCGTGGGAATCTCACAATGGGGCAATATCCAAGGTCAGCACCATTGGAAAAATAAGAGGAAAAAACCGAAGAATATAATTGGAAGTAGTGACATGGAAAACCAAGTGTGGTTGGAGGATTCTAAGTGCTGCTAATCCTGGAACACACGTTCCAGCAATAGGAATTGAAAAGGATGAAGCTGAAAAGGAAGGAAAACCCTAACTCCTCCCTGAACTTGTCAAACAAGGGAGTGAGGACTGACTCTATTTTGTAAAAAAGGTAACCAATGAAGGATTTTCAACAAGGAAGAACCATGAGTATATTTTTATGATGGAAAACATTGGTGCTCTGAGGTTTTAGAGAGAAAAGATTAAGACAAGGAATTGGATGGGAAGGTGAGACACCTACATGGCCTTTTTGGTTTGAAGAAGTACTGGAAGAAAAGCAAATTTAATGGAGAGATGCTGAGAGGAAGTGTGAAACAGAGGGGCAAGCACTGAATGGATTTAACAGCTACTGTTGGGTAGATTTGGTATTAGTAGCTGATTTGTTCTGTGGGCCAAAAAGAATGGAAAGTTGGGAGTGACTCGCAGAGTTCAATTTTGTAGGTACAAATAGGAAAGCAAAGAACATAAAAGGGGGGAAATTAAGTATTAAGTTGGTTAAATCTGGGGTACTCATGAGAAGAAAAAGTTTAGAGAACCTATAGTAGCATCCAGAAAGGGAAATATGTTTGAGATTTGTCAATGAATAGGTGAGATTAAAACTCCAAAAGTTGTTACAATTGCAAAGGAGGAGGAGATGGAGTGCAAAGAGAAGGGTCATGCGAAAAACTCTAGGGCAAATGAAAACAAGTAAGAGGTCTCAGAAGAGGGAGGGACCAAGAAGAGTGGCAAACTGAGCTGTCAGGAAATGGAGAAGGATGTGTGGAACCGGCGTCCTGCAGAAGCAGTGTCTTTGTTTGCTGGTGCGATTGTAAAGAACAAAAAGCTAGCTCTCAGATTTCTAAAGGTTTTATGAAGGCATAATCTGGCTTGGGTTGCTCTCTGCCTGCCAAGAGGACACGTTAGCACCGTGTTCTTCAGAAGAGATGAGCTGTGCTCTTTCTGTGGAAGCAGTGATGGAAAAGGACTGATCTAGGATGGTTCTCTCCTGCTCTTATACAGGGTAGTTCTATCAGGGTTTATCTCTTATTACCACCAACAATGGGGATGAAGCTGCAGTACATGAGAAGGAAAGGTGCTCAGACCACTGGAGTAGCCTCCACTTCCTCCTGACTGCTCTTCCAGTGATCTCTCAAGTGTTAAATCTTTTGAAAGGGAAGGAAGGGAATGGAGACTGTTGATATATGGCATTGTCCCTAGAGACAGAAGGGAAAGTGAGACAGGACATGCCTATGGGAAGGTGAAAACAATTCTTATAATGGGAAAGACCTCCATAGGTTTAAGGGGTGATGGAAAAGAGTATAAAAAGAAAGTCGGTAATTCAAGGATCTAGAGAAAACAAGAAGAAACTGTGGAAGGGTCAGCTTTGAACCTTTCCTGTGGGTGATGATTGCAGTTATGTTTGGAGATGAGGAAAGAGGAAGGTTTGAAAATAACATGTGATAACCTATGTTTTTTCAGTAATTCAGTTATGGAAAGAAAGAAGGAAGAAAAGAGTAAACACAAGTAGAGATTTGGGAAGGGTTCCCCTGAGATTGCAAACCCCATGTTTCTTGATATGTGCCCCAGTTTTGTACAGTCCCAAAACACAGGAAGAAGTCACAGTTTTCATAGCAGTTCATTAACTTCATCCAACCAGGATCCAACCAGGATCTTTCTACAGTTAATTATGCAGGCCATGAGGCACTCACCAGGAATCATAGCCTATCTGTCCTCTACTCAGCACCTATCAAGGGACCAGACAAGGGAACTGATACTCAATATGTCTTCATGGCTTCTAAGAGGTCATTGTCCTCCTCTCTGCACAAACTCAGGTTTCGGAAGATTACATATCTGACTTTATTTACTTGTCCTAAAGAATCACCTATTATAAATTACACTGTGATATTTTCCCCTTTCATTCCTTAAAATTCAGAAAAAGGATTGGAAATAACATACTGCTTTATATTTTTTTTTTTTGTTGAAGACGTTGCTTAACATGTTATTCAACATTCCTTGTATAAAGCCCATTATAACAAATAGCTTTAGGTTTTAATTTCATGAAGCCATTTATTTTTCTTTAATAGCTGACAAGTTTCACCACAATTTGTAATGGGATATTTTCTACTTTTTTCCTGCCTCCCAGAAAGCTCAAAACTAAGCTTAATGCTCTATCAGAAAAAATGTTCTAGTTTACTGTGTCTACCACTTTACTTCAAAAAGTGTTACTTCATAGTCTGTATAATTGTGAGATGCCTCACTATTTTGGGAAGAGGAAGAATATATATATCAGATAGATATAGAGGTTACCCTACTCCCATAGGCACACATCTCTAACAGTGTCCCCATATGTAGTTATGCAGCAGATGCTAAGGAGAAACTGAGAATGTTAGAAGGCTTTTAACCGATGAAAGGAGCAGGAAAGCATACACCCAAAATTTAATACATTAAATTTGGAGAAAACTTTTCTTTGTATCTAGTGTGTGCAGAAGAAACCTTGAGTGTTGGTCACGTAACAGAGAATCATGCTACTTTGGGTTAGTTGAAAGCTCCTTTCCCCACTGGGACTCTTTGTAGTTTCCTCCTGGAGTACCTCTGGGCCTGCCCTGTGGCTGTCCTAGGATGTTTTGCCCCATTCTGGCAGGATTCAGGGAAGCTCAAGCAGTCTCTTTCCCCATTTGCAGCACTAAGCAGGGATGCTTAATCCTCAGTATTTATTATAGCTTTTCCCCCCCAAACCTGCTAAGGAAAAATAAACCTCTTTGCAAAGGGGGGGATCAGTGACAAATGGCAAGGGAACTTGTTTTTTGCTAACTTGCTAACTTCGCCAGGTCTTAGTGTGTGCCTCCTAGACCACAGTCAGTTGTTATTGTGCAGCTGTTTTTGCTGAGTGTTCTTAGGTAGGCTCAGCATCCAGATGCTGCCTTCTACATTCTTCTCCTTTGAGTCAAGGGCTTCATGATTTCACTTGGGGAGCTGAGCTTTACATAGCATGAAGTACTGAGAGGATTCCCCAGGACTTCTATCCTCTTCATTGATTGCCATTAAATCGCAGACAATGGAGGAGGCCACTGTTCATTGATATGCATGAGAGATGAATCATCTTTTTGAGAAGGGCTAGAAATGCTAGATTTGAGACTATGAAGAGGCAAATTTCATTTTTCTTCTATGTTGATACATCTGGAAGGAAAATGCAGTACATAATGTGCTTGATCTTAAAAATAAAATCTTACTTGAAAAGAATTATGCCTTAAAAATAAGAAAAAAATATCGAGGGAGTGATTGGTTTTTGAAGTGCTGATATGCTCCCTTTAAGTGGCTTATTTTTAGGTTCTCTAGGTGCAGAGCAGTGCACTAGCAGTCTTCTGAAACTTGTGCATACTGAGCACCCAGGAAACCTGTTAAAAAGCAGAGCCTGCTTTGGTAGGCCAGGGAAGGGCCTGGTGTCTGTATCTCTCTCAAACTCTTGGGAAATATTGGTGTTGATGTTGCATGGATCCCAGCACAGACAGTCTCAGAAAGTCCCTTCAGGTGATACGCTTCTTATGACAATACAGTGTAGATGCTTTGTCTCACATTGATGAATAATTCCTTTTAGAGTAATTTATGCCTAAAGGAAATGACCTCTGCTCCTACAATAGACTGAAAATGGCCTTCAAATGGTCACAGTTACAAAATTATACTTAAGATATTGATCTAGTCATCACTTACATTTGATAATTTTTTAAAAATATGCATTAGCTGACCTGAATAATTGCTGAATGTAGCTTTATAGTAAGTAATATTTCTTAATATATAAATTCCTTTCCATTGGAATACCTTTTGCAATAGAATATATTTCTTGGTCAGATGTAAATGCTAGAGGGTGAACTCTTGGCTTTATTTTGCAATTAGAGCCATGCTTTGCTCACTGTATACAGTCAATTTTTTTATTCATATTAACAAATGTTTTCATTTTCCATGCCATGTTCTCCTTTAGCAAGGGTTTCAGTGATTTAAGAACTTGTGGAGCTCCGATTTACTTCTATTGCCTAACACTATAAATGTAAATGAAACAAGATAGTGGAATGATCATTCAGCTTCTAAGAACCAGCAATCTTAGAGGTGTTCCATATATTACTAAATTCTTTACAATTTTTTTCTTTAAATTGTTCTTTCTCACCAAAAAAAGAAGTCCATTGAATTTCTTGGGTAGACTCTACTTCAATCACTATTCACTTTTAAATTTTCTAGTGATTGAGGACCACATTACTTTCACTGCCAGTTAAAACCCTCAGATGTTTCATTTTTCCCATCATCTTCCTTTGCATGAAAATTGTATGTGATGCTCTCTCTTCCCATTGGACTGGTGCCTGAGGGCAGGGGAGGTTTACTGCATCGGAGGGCTACAGTCTTTTCATCAGCCAGTCTCATGATTCTGGACAAGTCAATGAACTGCTTTAACTCTGTTATCTAATTTATAGAAGACTCTGTTGTGCCTTTCTTCCAGATTTCCTCTGGGGGTCAGATGAGCAACTGGAAAGTATTTTAAAACTGTACACTTTTGTATGAATGCAATCAACTGCATTCCATCCCATCACAGATTATAGAATCATTTTTCATTTCATTATTAATGATTGCTTCTTGGTCTCTGCATTTGCTAGAAATTCATAATCAACTAGCACTTTTTAGTATTTATTTAAAATGATAGACTTCATGTTGAAGGGATCTGTAAGTCTGATTTGAAAAGAAAACTTTGAGGTTTGGTGACTTTCCTCAGATTGTACACAGACAGTTGCTCACAGTGCAAGTCTTTCATTTCAGTCTGCTTTTCCTTTCTACCCCTGAACCCCCTCCAGAGCATCTATCTTTAACTCTTCCCATGTTCTGCCTATTCTGGTTTACTTTGGTCTTTGGAGGTTGGCTTGAAGGGCAATCTCCAGCTTCTTATCAAGTCAGCCTACCGGTTCATAGTAAGTGCATTTCCTACTAGATGTTAGGCAGCATGCCAGAGACCAGGTATCAGAAATATCAGGTGTGCAAATATCAATAATGTCTGGAAGCAGGAAATTATCTGTAATCGATTATGCATACAATACAATAAAATAATATTATTTGTATTTCCAGACTTTATGGATGTCTTTTAATTTTTGCCATTGTCTGTAGTCCAGAAGGAAAGACACAAAGTCAGCAGGGAGAGAAATGAGAGAAGTGCTTATTGCCACATCAGTGTGAGAGGGAGACTCAAGAAGCAAGTTAATCCTAGTCGCTCCACTGGCACATCAGGGAAGTCTCTTGGAATAAGTAACATCAGACTTGGGTCTTAGATAATAGCTGGAAACTGGAAAAGGATTGCTCATGAGTGAAATCATGAGTGAGTATAGGCTCGGAGTAGAGCAGAGCAGACATGCACAAAACGATGAATTGTTTAAATTTGTTTTGGAGTAAAAGCCACCAAGAGGAGACTTGTGGCATTATTGGTTGGAAAACTAGACCCAGTTTCAGAGTGATAAGAATACTAGAGTTTGATCTGGTCTTCTATTTGCTATGTTAGTCAAAACAGAAGACCTTCTTTTGCAAATTCTTACCAAAGACTGATAAATAGGGACTTACTTTAAACTTTCTTTGCCCACTCATTTTTAGGTCCTTTTATTGTTTCTTGTGCTAGAAAATGACACCTTTGCAAGGAAGCAAACTTCTTTGTTTGTCTGGAAAAATGTCATTAATCATGTAGTCCACTTACATTTCCAGAGCAACATAAATACAATAAATGATAGTAAGTAGAGCAAACGCAAATGCATTGCAATGTTCGCAGCTGAAGCTTGCAGCCTCTGGACATGTGGTCCGCCTCTCAGGGAAGCAAAAGGCATATCACAAGCTGGCTTCTCAGCTGTGAAATGCCACTACTTAGGTCACATGCCTCAGTTAAAAAAACTGCCAGGAGCAACGCCTTCTTCTTGGCGGAGAGGCATGCCACCTGTCTCCCAAAGCTGCTGTCCCTCCTGGCAACACGCATAGATAACTTTGCTTCACTGCATGTGGGGTGGTTGCGTTCTCTGCCTTTCGCAATGAATTTTTGTGTAGTATATATCTTGGGTCGATTTTAGTCTGATACTTGGCTTGGAGACTATTGCCCTTACTTACAAAGCCCAAAGGTGAATCCAGAGGAATAGTTATAAATTTAGAGATGACAGTCAGATGAAAATGTGAATATCTTT